TCTCTGGTGAATCCTCTCACCCTCTGCATCTCTGGCCTGTACCCCAGTTCTGTACGAATAAATAAATCTTTAAAAAAAAAAGAAAGAAAAACAAATGAGTTCTCAAAGGAAATTTGCTAGCATGTCATCCTGGAGAAAATACATCAATGATTGAATTGCTTCCTGACTTAGCTCAGTTATCACCATGACCTACTTAATAGTGATAGAGCATAGCAATGGTTATTTTAAAAGGTATTAATAGTCGTGAAAGCTACCCATTTTTCTCCTGGCACTATTGACACCTTTCCCCAAGTTAGGTCACTATAATCTAACTTTTACATGGATGTCTCAGCTCCAGTTCCCTTAGAATCCATTCACCATGCGATCTAGAACATCTTTTTCCTTTAAGTCACTCTGTCTAAAGCCGCACTGTAACTGGAATAATGCCAAAGTAGTGAAAATGTGTTCCAGGGTCAAGCCAACTGGTCCCACCTACTTTTAATTCCACAGTCTCTGTTCCAGGTAGCCAACTAGAGCACATTTTGCTTCCTTGAACCTGACAACCTTTAACGATCTCTCCCTGAAGTAGTCTTCAGTCTTGATTGGCCACGGCTTACATGTTCTTTAAGCCTTAGCAAACTCTGACATAAGGATTTAGGAGCAGACAAGTTATTTGGAAGGTGAAGCTGAGAAGTATTTGTAAAGGAAGTAGGAAGAGTGAGACACAGAGAAGACTTAAACCAGCAACAGGTATACTATTGTGTGTGTTACACTATAGTCAGATCCTTTTGCAGACACTGCAAAACAATCCTCAGAAGCCTTCACTGGGTGTCAGACATGGGGCTGGGACATTTATTTAACACCATCAACTCCCATCCCCTATTGTTCCTGGGAAAAATTTAACTCCTTTTCTCCCCCAGGAGATCCTTGTTTGCAGCTTGTTCAGGCAGCAGCAAGAAACAAAGCATTTGAGTTGGGAAGTTCTTAGCATATTAGACACTGCCTCCCAAATTTCAGAGCAATTCAGAGGCAGACAGGATTTGTGGCAAAACAAATGGCTAAATGTGACACCCTCAGAGTTCCACTTAGACTTGTGTTTAAGTTATGTCTTTGTTCTATATCTCATCTAGAATTTCTCTCTGTGGTGCACACACAAAACATCTGCATACTGTTCATATAATAACTGCTTCAAAGTAAAATTAACACTGATCAAGATGGTTAAGAATGGCCCAAGTGGGGATGGAGGATTTTAATACAAGTTTGATTGACAAAAAAGTAATGCTCATAAACTTAGGAATCATTTTTTGAAGCTGTTTGTAAAGGTATATAAAGAGATCCAGATGGGCCAACTGCAAATTTATGGCAAGTACAGGTTTTTAAAAGTATGACTTTAAAAACCCATCATGAGGTCCTCCCTGGTGGTGCAATGGGTTAGGACACAGCACTGCAAGCTGGCTGCAGCCACTTCAGTGCGAGTTCCATCTCTGGCCCCTGAGGTGATCCACATGGAGGGGCAGACCTCTCCTGACCCACCCACTGCTCCCCTCAGCAGTGTACTTTGTCTATCTGCCTGTTCTGCTCCCTACTCTGTTTCTGGTGAACTTTTTCACTGCCCCTGTACCTCTGGCCTGTACCCCAGTTCTGTATGCATAAATAAATAAATCATAAAATAAGCTCAATATATTGCTGTGTGTCTATGAAAAAAAAAATATATATATATATATATATATAAACACCACCATGCTTTCCCACAACCTGAAATTACTGCTAGGAAGAGACTTTTAGTGTCATCCAGGGTAGGGCTCCTAAGCTTTCTGAGCATTTCCACATATCTTGTTGTCTCCTTAACATATTTTTCTTAGGCCTATTGCTATATTTTTTGAATAAATGCTATGATCTCTGCTAATTAATTTTTAATAACACAGGAATTATAGTCATAAATGTACACCAGTGCAGTTTAACTTGTTTGCCTATTCCTCAGGGGTATTACAAAGATAAATTAATTACTCAACCTGTAAAACTTAAAGGTAGAAACCTCTTACAGAGTTAAGAATCTGAAGTGGGCATATTTATAATCTTCAAAGCCATTTTTGAAAAATCATTTGTAAAAACTGATTTTTTGTTTGTTCGGAGACAACATATTTGCAGTAAAAAGTCATACATTTCTGGTTTCCCTGAATATTTATTTCATCTTTTTAAGGAATAGTTGTCATGAAATTCTGTACCTCTGAGAAGAAAACTAGTAATAACTATATTTTTAATAATTGCTACTATCATGAGTCCATTATAACAAAGGGTCTAAAAATATAGGAAGTATTCATGTCCTCAATAATAATTTAATGGATTAACCATTAATTTCAATGCACATATTTTAACACTCTAGTTTATCAGTTAAATAAAATTATGCATAAGAGCTTAGATTTGTCTTTTAAAAGTATCATATAAGTTTGTTATTATTATTGAGGTAAATTGTGTTTTTTACAAAAACAACTTCAAAAAGTAGTTGAAGTAAAACTTGTCATACTTGTCCAGTTAGTTTATTTCTTCCAAGTATAACCTCTGTAAAGAATTGGAAAATTTAAGAAAGTAAACAATTTGTTTGCATATTTTTAGTAATACTGATTTTCACCTGAAATACCTGAATAAGTAATCTTATTTCCAGTAAGAGTTCTATCTTCATTAAATAAAAATTATTAAGTGAATAATTAAAATTATTAAGTGAATAAATTTATTAGATGACTCCTCTACGAATAATTAGTGGTAATTTCATAATTATAATAATTATAAATTCATAATTTCATAATTATATATTCTTCCAAAAGGCATATATTATTTACTAACTTTCTTGAACTTGAGTAA